GACCTCCCTGTCAATAAGACTGTTTTTCTCTTAAGTCTGGGCCATTGAGCTCTTTTAAGTTAGGGTACATTGCCTATGGGCCCTGGTCACAGCTGCACACCTCATCCTAGCCAGTGAAAGCGCCAAAACGTGCCACTGATCCAAACAAGACCTCGGAGACAGAGGAGTCATATCCATAAAACCTCTCTCCTCAGCCAGAAGTACCTTAAGCCCTACTGAGGGTAAATTCATAACAACATTTTTGTATATGAACAAACTTTAAAAAATTGGGCTGATTCCGAAGACTCTGTCACAGGGGTGTTCGGAATCAGACACCAGCTGGTTAATAAAGGGCTCATATACGGACTTCAAAAAAAAATTGTTTTGTTTTTATTTTAAACCAGTCTCTCTTATTCATGAAATTATTATCTGGTTAATGCTGCTTTGGAGTTACAGCATTTTTCAAGTAAGGTCCAAGCCCTTCTTATTCGTGCTTACCATATCTGAGCTTTATAATCTTACATGTGAAAAAAATAGCACCCCAGAAAATTAGCTTTCTTTCTTCACGTCAACCTTATGAAGTAGATACTATTGTTTCCATGAGAAAATTGAAGCTCAGAGAGGTTAAATAATTTACCTAAGTCATTCAACAATAAAGCAAGTGGAGCCAAGGTTTGAGTCCAGACAGTTCTGTTCTAAAATTGATGTTCTTAAACCACTTTGGTGTACTGTCCTTCAGCCACTACATGGCTGTTTGTGGTTGGTGTGTTGGTGCCCATATACCTTAAGGTATTTGGGAAATTTTAGAACTATATTCAACATTAACAGAAAGAGTCTGGCCTTGTAAAATCTAGTGTAATATTAGAATACAAAGGTGGACTTTTTATAAAAACTACATGTTGTATCAGAGCCACACACATCTCAGAAACCTTGGGTTAATTATTACTTCTCTAGTTGCTGAATCAGTTTGGTGCCCATGTTTGACCATGTTTGGCTAGAATATCTTCCTTTGTATTGCCTGTAAACTAAGCATTTCTCCCCTGGAGACCCCAAATATGATCACTTTAACCCCACTATTTATTTTGGCCCAACCACATTTAGGGTGAAGAGATTATATCCCAGAATTCCCAGGAAAGCACAGCAGATGATAGTGAGAATGATGCATCATCCCAGGTCTCCAAGAGCAAAGCAATGGGGGTATGTCTGCATAAAGCACCAGAATGTGGCACTGATGTTGCATTTTCTTCAATATTCTGAGTGGTAAAGAGTGCAAAAGATCCCTATTTCTGTGTATGATCAAAGACTTCTATGCCTATCTCCATTCCCTCCCAAAAAGCTTCTGTGCTTATGTGAGATTTTTTTTTATCCTCACCCGAGGACATTTTTTGATATTTTATTCAGATAGAGTGGGAAGGAGCGAGAGAGAGAGAGAAGCATCGACGTGAAAGGGACACATCGAGTGGTTGCCACCCACACGACCCAATCAGGGCCAGGGACAAACTGCAACCAAGGTACATGCCCCTAGCAGGAACCAAACCTGGGTCTCTCCGGACTGCAGGCCAACGCTCTAACTGCTGAACAAAACCGGCCAGGGCTTATATGAGTTTGGTGGGGACCAGGAACAAACCCCTCACAATCTTTTTTTTTTTTTTTCTCTCACAATTTTAAAGTCACTCTTGACTATCTCAAGTTGTGGCATATGTTACAGAGTTGAAAATTCTCTTCCATGAATTTTCCCTGAATTCTTTTCTAAAATCATTCTAGAGGGGAGAAAAGAAGGTCAGAATGTTCTCTGAGTGTTGAGAAGAATGAGTTTAACCATTTAAATGTTGTTTTACTATATAAAATAGAAATGTCAATACGTTTGATGAAAGCACATGATCAAAAGCTGCCACTACTGAGGACTAAATAAGAGTAGGGGTCCTTATTTTTTTCTGGGTTACCACAGATAACTTTTGTAATTTTTTTTATTTCTCACCCGAGGATATTTTTCCATTTATCATTAGATAGAGAGGAAGGGAGGGAGAGAGAAGCATCAATGTGATAGAAGCACATTGACTGACTGCCTCCCACACGACCCGACCAGGGCCGGGGAAGAACTGCAACCGAGGTATACGCTCTTGATCAGAATCGAACCCTTGACTCATTGGGCTGACACTCTAACTGCTGAGCCAAACCAGCCAAGGCATACCTTTTAAAACTTTAAAGAAAGCTAGAGAAAACTGTATGTTCATATTTTGGTACAATTCAGCGAGGTAATAGACCCCAAGAAGCTCAGATTTAAGAACCCCTGCTGTGGAACCTCTCTATAATGCAATTTGAAGTTGTTGCAGAAAGGTCATCTAATATGAAAAATTATTTTATTACATAGTCCTCTGTATAGTATACCTCTCTACCTTTTTCTCAAAAAAATTTGAGGCAGACAATATCCTATTAGTTTGGTACTTTCTCCTAACTTCCCTCCCAGATTACAGTTGCAGGCCAAAGAGAATTTGATGCTGGATTCCTGTTGAGATACACCAGAATTTTTAATTTAACAAACATTTCATTCTATACTACGTGGCCCCTATGTTCTTATGTCACATACATGCAGTAGAGCAGAAGGGCCATGGCTTATTTTTAAATTATGCAAATTTGGTTGTTGCAGAATGGCATAAATCATTTTCAAATAGCCTCCCTCCATGATCTTGGCTTAGAGGTCATGATAAAAACTGAGGGAGCCTCAGGTCTCACTTTTCCAACGAATGGTTTAAAACCTATCATTTGTTGTCACAGTGATAAAGTACAGCTTTAAATCCTATGCGAGCAGTATTATAATTCACAGGGTCACCCAGATGACCGAAAGTATTTAATTATCCTTTGCCCCTTAGGATGGTGAAGATGAAGCAAGTGATGGAGAAAAGGAGCAAGATAGTGATGAGAATGATGACGACTGTGATTAGACCACAGAAAGACTGATGCCCCCTCCTCATCTTTGCCAGCTTCTTACCATTTTGTGAAATCTGCTGTCTGCCTTTCTCACCAGAAGCATCCTATTTTGTCCTTAAAGTGGGGGCTTTCTTGAATCAACTTAATAGTGAATTTCATAGATTTTCTAACACCATGGCTCAGGTTTCCAGTGTAGCATGATTTACCAGTTTGGGCAAACATGGCAGTGCTATACAGCAGAGTAGTCATGATTCTGGGCTTTGGGAGTTAGTTTTGAATTTATTTTAGAATTTAGGTTTGTACCAGTTTTACAAATAAATTATTTTAAGTTCTGCTTCAGTTACTTCTTTTCCTCTTTCTGGATTTCCTACGTTAGTCAAGGATTAGATGAAATTGAATTGGTTTTCAGTAGAGAAATAATGAAGACTGGTGCCAAAATCAGTCCTACAAACTAAAACCATATGTTTTCATGAGGTATCACCTCACACCTGTCAGAATGGCCGCCAAACAAATCATCAAACAAGTGTTGGCAAGGGTGTGGAGAAAAGGGGGCTCTAGTGCACTGCTGGTGGGAATGCAGACTGGTGCAGCCACTGTGGAAAACAATATGGTGTTACCTCAAAAAATTAAAAATTGAACTTCCATTTGACCCAGTGATCCCACTTCCTAGGAATATACTCTAAGAAGCCTAAAACACCAATCAGAAAGAATATATGTACCCCCATGTTCATAGCAGCACTATTTACAATAGCTAAGTCTGGAAACAGCCCAAGTGTCCATCAGTAGACGAATGGATAAAAAAGCAGTGGTACATATACACAATGGAGTACTATGCAGTTGTAAGAAAGAAAGACCTCTTATCCTTTGAGACAACATGGAGGGACCTGGAAAGTATTATCCTAAGTGAAACAAGCCAAGCAGAAAAAGACAAATACCACATGATCTCACTTATTTGTGGAATATAATGAACATAACAGTCTGAGGAATAGAGTAGACCCAGAGACATGGAAGTAGGGTACAGACTGACAACCCTCAGAAAAGGGGGTGGTGGGGGGTGAGAAGAGATAAACCACAGAACTTATATGCATGTATGCATAACCAATGGACATGGACAACAAAGCCAGGGGCGGGGCGGGGGGGGGGGATGGGGAGGAGGGGGTCAATGGGGTAAAAAAGGAGAAACATCTGTAACAAAAATAAAATAAATCATACAAAAAACCAACAACACGTTTTCTATTGTAAGGACTATCTTTAAGATGAGATTTTTGTGTTCTTTTTAGAGGAGTGATGAATTTCTTGTCAATGCTCAAAGAAAATAAAAGGGAATATTTTGGCTTGCTTTAAAAAAAATTTTGGTCATCATGTAGAAAGAAAGAAGACAAGGGGAAAAGGCACCATCTAACTCATGTTAATTTGTATATGTAATGTTTATTTTATTTCCACATTATTCTGAGCTATACCTATAATCTAATTATAAGTATGTACAAAATAACTTGTAGTTTATCAGAAATAGAACATTAGGAGTACACCGCTAAAATGGGAAGTCTCATGTCTTCGACCACAAAGCTCAGTTTCAGTGTTGCTACCAAGTTCTTTCTTGCCAGGCTATAAATACTGTTTAATATTTGTTAAATTTTGTTTGGTACTGTCTTATAGTTGTTAATATTGTTACCCACTTTTATATTCTCCAGTGGTATTAGGATGTGGCTGGTTAGTTTTGTTGTTGTTATTTTGGTGGATTAGTTTTTGTTTTTAAAATTAATCCTTGACCCACATATAGATTTGGCCCCTTCATCCTGAAGGTATATAGAAATTGATTACTCCTTCCTTGACATCCCTTTGTTTCCCCAGTTCATTGTGGTCTTAGATGTTTAAGTGAGTTCACACTAGGCTTGTTTATATGGTTTGTTTAATGGTTCTTTATCATATGTACATGTCAATGCTAATTTGATTGTCTTTCAAATGGTTGTTCAACATTACAATGGAAATTGTTCTCCCTTGTCCTGTCACTGACCCTTTTTTGGAAGGGAAGGGAGGAAATGGCTCCTGAATTTTCACTGCTTGACAGAAAAACAAGATGGTTGGGGCAATGTCAGTTTCCTTTACATGGACAGGTTTCTGCAAGCTTCAGGCACATAGCAAAGGGTGTGGTGTGAGGAACGGGAATCAGTTGGGGACCCTTTACTTGGAGTGTTGCAAGGCAAAGGTACACTTCTTGTATGTTGCATACAGCAAGAGGATAGAGCGCAGCATCTGTTTGCACATGGTCACTGTCATCTGAATCTGAGGTTCCTTAAGTCCAGTGGACCACCGGTGCTCCCGGCTGATGATTTTGCAAAAGGCTGACTTATCTGAAACTCTGAAGGTCCCAGTCCACTTTGGAGGCTGAGCCGTGATGACTCTGCCAAAGACCGAATCCACTCCACTGAGGCGAACAGGTTGGGGCTTCCTGACCAGCCCTTTCTTGTTGTTTATGGTTCGGAGCTCTGATGTGTGGCAGGGTAGCTTGGGACTCACCCCATTTTCCAGGAATGGGCTGTCTAGGACTAGCGTGACCTCTTGAAAGCACAGTTGTACTTCAAGGTCAGAAGGGGTGTGTGGGAAGCAGGGGGATGCCCTAAAGGGGTGCTTGGAAGAAGGTGTAGGTGTTGTGTGCCGCAGCCATTGGAAGCTCTCGTCCAGTGGGGTCCATGGTGACCAGAGCTGGTATCCTGCCATTGATAGTTCTAAAGGAAAGGAATCAGAACATGGAATTTCCCTAGCATCGTTTTGGTGAGGGCATGGCCATTCAAATTCATATCTCTTTGTCTCATATTGACTTTAACTTAACTCTAGTTCCCATGAACAGATTCCAGTAGATGTTAGGGTACTAGTATCTCTATAACGAGTAGTGAGGGATGGTAATAAGTATTGAATTTGTCAAGTGCTACATGTACTAAAACTTTATTAAACTTAATACAAGCCTCTGAAAGTAGGTTTTAACCCATTTTACAGATGAGGAAATATGGAGGTGGGAAAAAGTAGGTTAATAATAATAACAATAAGTAATACATTAATAAATAAATAATACAAGAATAAACTTTGGTATACTGACAACAGTAAACCTACTTTTGCCCACCCTGTAGATTTGTCCTAAATGGAGTATCTCAGTTCTCCATTAGGACCTGTGCTGTGTTGATAACTGCTTAAGACAGAATCCTACACCTTTGAGGTTGCAGAGGCTGCTGGCACTTTATGATGAGACATTAATTGTGCTTAGAAGCTCAGAAAGGCCACATCTTACCAAATATCTGGGACTCTGAATCCCGTGTACTTTATACCAGTGGTTCTCAAAGTATGATCCTGGGACTAGCACCATCTGAGAACTTGGTAGGCATGCAAATTCTTGGGCCCCACATAAGACCTATAGAATCAGAAACTCTGGGGGTAGGGCCCTACCATTTGTGCTTAAGCAAACACTCTGGAGATTCTGATGTACTTACATTTTGAGAACTTCTTATACTGTTCCTTTTAAGGAATTTCAGCTTTCAGTGTTGTTAATTATGAAGACAGTATCCTCTTGGCCCTAAAAACCTGTTTTCTGACACAAGGAGCTGTTCTTTCAGAGCCCTGAGCTACTTATGTACTATCTCAGAGGAATTACATCAAGCTAGGAGGAAAAGAGTTTCCAAAGGCCAGTCTTTAAAAATTTCTAGAGATTTTTCTGGTTCTTCTAGGTGTCTTCTGGTTTTTTGTTTTCTTATCTATGGGAGACCCACTGGGTGGGAACTTTATTTTTCTGTTCCCTTTGAAGATAAAGGACTGGGAGGATGTTGCTGACTCAAAACATATCCAAGTAGAATTTGAATTTTCCATCAGTCTACCTTAAAATTGCAAGTATATAAAGGGTTGTCCTGAATTCAGGACGAGCTAACATTTTTTTGAGTGTGCACTATTATGTGAAGGGACATCGCAGGTCCCTTTTCTTTTTAGCCAAGTGTATTTCTTGGTCCCTTCTCTCTTCTACAAAGGGGAGCAGCAGCAGCAGATTTTATTCCATCCAGTAATGCTGTGAAAAGTTGACACCTCCACCATAGTTTGTGAAACAGTAAAGTTCATTTTTTTTAAAAGGAATTGGGTGACATTTCAAACCAGAAGACCTGCCCGGACAATGATTAGTATAGAGATTTATTGATTTCCTCCAACTGGTATGTTTCTCCTGACCTATGCAGGCCCTTTTGCATACTGTGTCCAAATGTCTGGGCTGCCTTAGGATGAGAAAATGACACCCAGGGGATACTTATCTATTCCAAACAGCCTACCAAAGTGATGCTTGAGATCATGATCCTGAGGGCATACATTCCAAGATCAGTGCTACTCTGATACACTGCCATGGCAAGGTGGGGTGGCAGGTATTAAGGCCTCTGAACACATGACCAAAAAGAGTATTTCATCCCAGCATCCTTTTCCTGACTCACCTCCTATGAGCATAAAGGGCCAGAGGTATTTAAAAAAGGCTTTGTCAAATGTCCAGCCTAAGGATTGAGCAGAACCAACATGGAATGAGAAAGGCTTCTGACCCAGGTCTTTCCACCACTTTCACATAAGGTTTACATAAAAATGGTTCACATACACACACCCCACTCCCACCACCCTGAAGTCATCATCATCCACTCTAAGAGGGATTGAACCTAGGAAGTTTGTTCAAGCTGCTCTAATAACTCCCAGATAGGAAACACCTTGTTCTAGCCAAAAAGATTTTCCTTTCATACCATTCCAAGGAACTGGGTCCCCCCAAGTCCCCACCTGGGAAAGAGGAAGGCAGCTTCAAAGTGCCACTGAGGTCCTTGTAAACTGTGATCCCGAGGGACTGGAGCTGCCCGATGTTGGGGGAGCTTCCCGTCCCAGCCGGAAAAAGGGGGCTTGTCCCCTGGGGGTCCCTACCCCGGGGCCAGACGGCTCTGGCAGAGGAGGAGGCGGAGGTGGCGGTGGGAGCCCAGGCCCGGTCCCACCATCCGGGCTGGGGGCTCACCTGCTGAACTCCACTGCCGTAAGCTCCAGAGTGGCGGCTGCTGTTCCTGGGCTGCATCTTTTTTTCCACTGGGCGCCTGGCAACCGCCTTTGTGACCCAGGACCGTGGGGGTTGGGGGTGGGAGTCTCGAGACCGCCCCTGCTAGGGGGCATCTGATCTGGAACCACCACTCCTTGGAATGCCAGGTTCAAGAAATACCCTTCAGGAGTTCAGGTTCGAATCCCGTCCTCTCCAATACCCTCCTCCACCTCCCTACCTCACCACACCTGTGTGCGTTTGATCTAGTCGCAGGGCATGGGCACGCCCACTTCAAAGGGTGTGGTCAGGAATGTGCGTTAAAAATCCAGGACCTGTCGTTAGTATTAAAAGCCTTTATTATAACCCTGCTCAGTTGGTGTTCAGGCAGTTACCCAGAGTTCAAAAGGCTTTTGTTACTGCATTGGAATGATCCCAGTGCAAGGAGACAGAATTTATAAATGATCACCTATCAAGATCAAGAAGAAAGATACGTTTTCTTCTCTGACTGGTCCATGGAAGACCATTTATCATTTCTCAAATTGTTGTATAGATATATGTTGATTTTCTGCTTTCTGCAAAAGAAGAAAGAAAATGTAAACTAATCATGAATGCATGTTTTGTGAAGAACTAGGCACTGTGCTTAATATTTTATTTATTCTTTTTTTATGGTATTTATTCTTTATCACATAATTCTCCCAACAATTCTGTCCACGTTGTTATTCTTGTATTACACATGAAGAAACCAGTGCTCAGGGGGGTGAAGTGACTCCTCCATAGATTTATGATTAAAAAATAAATAAAACTGAGGTGCCTTGCAGATTTTATTCTCTAACAGATAATGAGCAAAATACTGACTTCAACAGCATCACTTGGAAAGCAGGTTCTTGAATGACAGGAGCCTTCTGGATTCCTGGGGTTCGATATTTAGGGTCAATATTTGTTATTTTAGAACACATTTATATGAATGTATAGGAGAAATCAGATAGGTTAAACTGTTTTCAGATTGGTACAGTGAAAGATATTAGAGTCTAGAATCAGCTGGTGAAGATCTGCCTTTTAATTGGTTGTGTGACCTTGAACTTCAGTTTTCTCAACTGTAAAATGAGAAACCTCTTCACGACTTCCCCAGTGACGTAATAGCTATAAAAGCAGCTTTATAGCTTGTTAAACCTTCTCAGTAAAAGATTATTAGTAATGGTTTCTCCCCAGACAGGAACTGAACCCCAGATTCTTTGGTCCTCAGGCTGACATTCTAACCACTGAGCCAAACTGGTCAGGGCTCAACCACATTTTTTAAGTAAAGGGCATTTACTGCACAAATCAGATTGCAAGTATTCCCTTAAAATATTGTCCTTAATTTCACCATCTTAACAAACCAGATATTGCCCTGGCCGGTTTGGCTCAGCGGTTAGAGCGTCAGCCTGAGGTCCAGAGAGACCCGGGTTCGGTTCCCACTAAGGGCATGTACCTCGGTTGCAGTTTGTCCCCGGCCCTGGTTGGGTCGTGCATGAGGCAGCCACTCGATGTGTCCCTTTCACATTGATGTTTCTCTTTCTCTCTCTCTCTCTCTTCCTCTCTGTCCCTCCCACTCTATCTGAACAAAGAATGGAAAAATGTCGAGTGAGGATAAAAAAAAATTTTAAATAAAATAAAATACACTTAAAAAAAACCAGATATTGATATTTTTGGTATATCCTTGCCCTCAAGCAGTCATAATTTTTGCATAATTGCAATTGAAGAAAAATTTGTATTTTGTGTTTTTCTTCAATTTATCCTGTGTTATGTTGCCATGGTGTTCATAATTAGCATTTAAATGACTGCATGATATTACCATAAATGACCATTCCTTTGCTTAGTCATTTCTGACTGTGGAAATTTGTTTTTTGTTTTTTAAACAGATAATGCGACAAAGAGTACCTTTGTGTTTAAAGTGCTTTTTCTTTTCCATTGATTTTCTTAATGAAATTATTAGGTCAAAAAGTTTTGTTTTGTTTTGTTTTGTTTTGTACTTTTTTTACAACTCTATTACTCTTCCATAGCACCCTGAACGCGCCCATCTTGTCCTGCTATTAATTTACAAATTTTCTTCTGAAGGGGCTGTATCAGTTTACAGTATGACCGGCTATTTATGAGCCTATCAATTTCCCCTCACTGGGTATTATCGTTAAACAAACAAACAAACGTGTTTCATTTGATAAATGTGAGGTGGACCATCATGCTGTGTTGTTGAAAGGCATTTTTTAAATGACTCGCATTTAGTGCGGCTTAATCGGTTACGCCTCACTCACTGCTGACACAGACCGTAACCTACGTCTGCAGCAGCTGAGGGAGTGGGTGGGTGACGCGGCCCACGCTCCTCCGCACCTCCAGTGACCGACTACCGCGATGGGTTGGGGGGATCGGCGCGTGCGCACTCTATTCTTCCCGTCGGAGTTGAGGGGACAGTTTTTCGGGGGTTTGGAGCAGGCGAGGATGTGCCGTCACGCAGCCGCACCACAATGCCAGTTGATTCGTGGGTGCCAAGGGATGGGCTGGCGGCGCAGGCGCAAGGGCGTCCTGGGGGATCGGGGCGCCTGCGCAGTCGCTCTTTCTTAGGCAGCAGCCATGGCGGGACAAGAGGATCCGGTGCAGCGGGAAATTCACCAGGACTGGGCGAACCGGGAGTACATTGAGGTCATCACCAGCAGCATCAAGAAAATCGCAGACTTTCTCAACTCGTTCGGTCAGCGGGCGAGCAGCGGGAGGCGGGATGGAGGGAGGCCTCGGAGGCTGTTTGGCCGGGCGCTGAGGAGCTTTGAAGGGACTCTCTCCCGGAGACCTCGACTCTTGCTGCTTTTCTCTTCCTCCTTCAGGCCCCACCTTCCTCCTCCCTCCCTGACCCTCAGGCTCCCCTGGGCAGTCCCTGCAGGGTTATCCCGCTCCACGCTGAGCTCATCGGCCTTATTGCCATCACTCCGGGTCCATTAACAAGTCCTTCCTCTTTGCAGACTAGTCAGGCAGCCCTGTCCACCCTCTGCGTCTTCTCTTCAGTAGTCTTCCTGCTTCCTTTGTGCTCCGCCCCCTTCCAGTTCCCACTTTACCTTCAGAGCGCACGGTCCAGAACGTGGCCGTGGCCGTGGCCGTGTCGCTGCCCTGTGTAAAGACCCGCGACGGTTCCCCATCTCCTTCAGGGTCGGGTGGAAACCCTTTAGGCCGTGCCTTTTACTCGCCCCTTCAGCCTTCTCCTGCCTGTTCCTTCCTGTCTCCCGTTTGCTGTGCTAAGAGTGGTAGGAGGTAAGGTGAGAGGCAAGGTCCAGATCGTGTAAAGCCATGGAAATCTGTGTATTGCTAGTATCTAGCCGGTAGCCGGTGTTCAGTCTGCTTCTAGCAAATTCTTTCCTAGGCATGGCCTGCTCATGACAGTCTGTCCCATATCCCTCTGGACAGCAGGCCTGTAACAGGCTCCCATCCCATGTTCTTCAAGTGTTTTAAGAGGACTGAGCCCTGGGTAGACTTATGTAATCACAGGTATAGGGGTGACATCTAGTGATCTTTTCCAACCCATGTGCTTCTGTTCCACTAATTCAGCAACATTAGGAAATTAAGATTTAACTAGGGGAAACATTCCATAAAGAAATACTTATTTTAATTTAATTTTATTGTTTAATCCTCACCCGAGGATATTTTTGCATTGATTCTTTCACATTGAGTGGGAGGGAAGGAGGGAGGATGAGAGAGAAAGAAAGATGGATGTGCCACACATGGATCGGTTGCCTCCCGAACAACCCCATTTGGGGATCAGACCCCAACTGAGGTATATGCCCTTGCCCTGAATCAAACCTGAGACCGCTGAGCCAAACCTGCCAGGGCTTTAAAAACAAAAGACTTTAAAATGTATTATTTTCTAGCGGGAGGGCTGATGAGTTCTAAAGTCAGAACATGAATTTTGTCAGAAAGCATCAGCAAGAGAAACTAGTTCTCAGTGCAAGACTCTCTCAGGCTCTGTGGAGGACACAGAATAAGAACCATTTCCTGTGGTCAGGATTTCTATCTTGAATATGAAATAATTTCAGAACATTGTTTTTGTATTAATATATTTACATACAAGATGTATAGGACTATAAGTTTGATGTGTCTTGATATGGTGGATTTCCTCACCAGGGATTGGAGGTGAAGGTCATATTATTGAGAGAATAGTATAAATATATGCCAATAACACATGTTTCACACACATAACTTGCTATAGAGGTTGTAGTAGGGAATGGTATCATGGAATCATAGATTTCAAGTATCCTGAAATTTTTTAAGGGCTGAGTAATGGAACATGGTTTAGTGAAGCATAAGTGGGTTTGGAGACAGGAGACTCAAATTCAAAGAGATTAGACTAACTAATTTTAATGAACTGAAAATTTGACAAATATTGACCTGTTTATCCTGATACTCAGATAGTCTGAGTTTCTCAGAGACATTTTTTTTAAAAGTTTCATGCAAAGTCTTTCATTGTTAGTTCTCATAACTGGTTTCTTCTGCTTTCCCAATAATTAGGGAGTTCTTCACAGAATTCTTTACTCATAACATTCCTTCAGAAGAAGGACCAGGTAAGAGAAACCAAAATATTTCATGCTAAGGGATGAAATGGAATGATGACAAGATCATAGCTTTGGATTAGTCTGGAAAGGCAGTGGGAAGTAGTTGGGAAAATCACTGACACACAGAGTTTTAACTTTAATCCTCACCTAAGGACATTTTTCCATTTTTTTGTTCAGATAGAGAGGGAGGGAGGGAGAGGGGGAGAGAGAGAGAAAGAGAGAGAAACATCAACGTGAAAGGGACAAATCGAGTGGCTGCCACCCACACAACTCAACCAGGGCTGGGGACAAACTGCAACCGAGTTACACGCCCTTAGCGGGAACCAAACCCAGGTCTCTCTGGACTGCAGGCTGGTGCTGAGCCATACTGGCCAGGACCAGAGTTTTAACTTTAAAAAGTAGAATTAAAAGACTTCATCTGGTAGGCATAAATATCTGATATATACACACAGAATATCTATGCAAAGTATTAAAAATGTCAGTTCAATCAATGAAGCATCTGGCCTGGTTGATGTGGCTCAGTGGTTGAGTGTCGACCCATGCACCAAGAGGTCACCAATTTGATTCCCAGTCAGG